GAGGCTCCAATACTTTGGCCATCTCATGAGAAGAGAAGACTCCTTGGAAAAGACCTTGATGTTGGGAAAGTGTGAGGGCAAGAGGAGAAGGGGACGACAGAGGATGAGATGGTTGGACAGGGTCATCAAAGTGACCAAGATGAATTTGCCACAACTCCAGGAGGCAATGGAAGACAGGAGGGCCTGGGGTGCTCTGGTCCATGGGGTCACGAAGAGTTGGACATGACTAAACAACTAAACAATGATGATTACTAGTCCACTGCATCAACTCTGTCTGTGTGTGTGTGTGCAGTTGATGCAGTAGTGTATATAGACTATTACTAGTGCACTGCATGACTAAATGACGACGATTACTAGTGCACTGCATCAACTCTGTGTGTGTGTGTGTGTGTGTGTGTGTGTGTAGTTGATGCAGTAGTGTATATAGATTATTACTAGCGCACTGCATCAACTATTTTATATATATACTTGTAGCCGCTGTTGCCATACATAAAATAGTTAATGCAGTGCACTAGTAATAGTCTATATACAGCTCCTCCCCACAAAAAAAAATCTTCCTCTGCCTTCTGCTCAGCAGGGGAAAGTGGTTTGTTGATTGATTGATTGATTGATTGATTGATTGATTGATTGATTGATTGATTGATTGATTGATTGATTGATTGATTGATTGATTGATTGATTGATTCATTCATTCATTCATTCATTCATTCATTCAATTTTTAATATCACTTATTAAGCCACTTCCCAATCCTGGCAGGAAGCACTTCCACGTGAACAGTCAGGCTTGAGTCGGTCTTTCTAATCAAGCCCAACCCTTCCAAATGGCTGTTAATGTAGCCGTACCCTTAGTCTCGTTGGGACTAACCGTATGATTTAAAAACCTTGGGTCCCTCTTAGCCTTCCCATCCAAGTCGGCTGCTCAACAGCTCCTTTCCAGTAATCTTTCAGCGAAAGCCATGCTTGCACAGATATGGCAAGAAGCTCAAGCTTTCCACAGAAAGCTCAAGCTTCCACCAGCGCTTCTGATGCAAATTCTTGTAGCATTCAGGAAGGAGCTGCGAACAAGGCCGTCTGCGGCGGCTGCACAGATGGCGAGGCTGCCTCCCCGCCCGCGTGACGACGGATCCCCAGAGCTCCATCCACACCAGCTGTCCCGCTTACACAAGGCCTCTGGAATGAGAGTTCAGGGATTGAACCATTTCCATTCATTGGAGCCTGGAAGCTGTTCTGGCAGGCCTCTAAATAGAAATGGCTTCCAGATGCCACCATAAAGAGGAGGAGGAGGGAAACGCAAATGTTTACCAACTTATAATATTCAGCTGGCTAACAGGCGGCACAAACCCCAGCCTTTGAGATTAGAGGAGACGTTCGACACACTGTTCTCAATTTAGATCTCAGTGCTTAGACATGCAATAAAAAGCCCGCCCGTATGACAGAACCTGAGATGGGCGAGAGAACAAGAAACACCCGGTAGAAGAGAGAAAGAGGGAGAGAGAAAGGGAGAGAAATGATTATTTCAAGAGGAAAGGAGACCCCACCATAGAATCCTCCAGGCTTTCAAACGCAATTTGTTCAGGACTTTTAGTCACACGGCTGGACTCTCTCTCTTATCTTTCGCCTTTTATTACCAGACCAGAGCCATCTTGACAAAGAGGAATAGGGAAGATAAAGCCACGGCAAAGACCAAACCTTTCCAAATACGTAATGCATCTGTGATGAGTCACACTCCTACACCACCGTTCCTCCAAAGAAATGAAGAGAGGCCCTTCCTTCCTTTTGTACCCTCACAACGACCCTATAAGGTAGCTTAGACAGAGAGATAGTGACCATCCAAAGGTCACCCAAACTTTGTAGGGCAACAGCGACTACAAGTGCTATCATTCTACACCAGGTAAATGGGTTTCTCCTCTCGTCCAGGACTGTCTATTGCAGTGGTCAGGGAACAGGGGTAAATTACCCCAAATGGGGTAAAAATGAAAATCCTGGGGGTAATGAGGACGGTCGCGGCAGGCATTTTACCCCCAGGCATTTTATTTCCGACAATGTTGTGTGTAGCCAGGCATTCCGTCACGAGCAGAGAGCGAATCCTGGCGAGGAACTGCACAGGGCACCCATCTGCCCTCCTCGCCTCCAAAGTTGGGGGGAGGACGGCGTACCAGGCCAGCTGGACTCTTTGCTCGGCGTAGCCCTGGCCAGAGCTCTCCTTCCTGCCCACACCCACCCGCCCGGTGCGCTGGCGAGGAGGCCCCTTTCCTGCCCTGCCTCACCTAAGCTCATGGCCAGTGGACCTGCTGGACCTACGGCGCACACCTCCCCTCGCCAAGGATGTGCTTTCCCAGTGGTGTGGCAGCTTCACCTTCCTTTTGTACCCTCACAACGACCCTATAAGGTAGCTTAGACAGAGAGATGGTGACCATCCAAAGGTCACCCAAACTTTGTAGGGCAACAGCGACTACAAGTGCTATCATTCTACACCAGGTAACTGGGTTTCCCTTCTCATCCAGGACTGTCTATTGCAGTGGTCAGGGAACAGGGGTAAATTACCCCAAATGGGGTAAAAATGAAAATCCTGGGGGTAATGAGGACGGTCGCGGCAGGCATTTTACCCCCAGGCATTTTATTTCCGACAATGTTGTGTGTAGCCAGGCATTCCGTCACGAGCAGAGAGCGAATCCTGGCGAGGAACTGCACAGGGCACC